CACTAAGATTGTAACGCTAAGAAAGTCGCCAAAACAGCATTCAGACGACCGTAAAGCGATGGTGCAGCTATGGAAAAAGGTAAGGAGACTTAACTCATTCTTTTCCTCGCTTTTATTATCCTTTAAAATTTTTTTCAATTTTTTTTGTTTATAAATTTTTCCTTTCGTCACTATTTCTGGCTTGTTTTAGCGAATTTTGACGAAAATTGAGCAATCTAAATACTTTATAAATTCACTCAAAGAGGATGTATTCCTCTCAAATTCAAACGCGAGATCTTAGCTTTAGTATAAATTTAAGGTTCGTAAAAAACTTGTCACACCTGGCGATTATCTTACGTTCCTAATCGCAACACCAATGGGACAACGCTTCCACCAAGGATATTTTCTGTTCTCGAAAAAATGCCACTCTTTCTTCCCTATTTGCACCTATATTCTTTTCCTTTTATTTTTTGATAGGGAAAGAAAGGGCTTTCCATATGCAAAGAGCCTCCATGTGTGAATTTTGTCAACGGTGTGCGGTATGCAAATAACATGAAAATCTTTCGACAACAAATGTGACTTCGCCTCTTAAGGGAGGCAGTAGCTGTAAGAATTGAAGCTGTAAAATCTTAATATCACCTTTCTGTCGTTTGTATTCTTATCATGAGTAGGAAAGTTTCCCTCTTAAGACAAACCCTTCGCCAAATTTAAGACTAGAGGTCGTCCGCCACGGAACGATACAACTTGTGCAATTTTTCTTTTGAGTCTATTAGGCGAAATTGAAGTGTACAGGAAGTATGAATTGACACCACAGAGCAAATTTGCTATATTTCGTAACGTTGAGAACATATTAGGAATGGCTAAAACTCATACAGTCGATAAGATCCCGACCGTTCATCGTGGTGAATCACAAAACTATTTAAACGCACAGTCGTTCGTCTCACGAGGCAGTCACATCCGACGAGCACCCCGACGTTGCGACAGCAAACTGATATCTTCTTCAAGCTACAAGGTCGACGGGTTGGGCGTCAACTCAATTAAAACTGTCTTGGTTAAAATAGTAAATTTAAATGTTTATTTAAAGATTGGCCTTGACATAACGAGAGGGAACGCAAGGGCCGGTTGAGTGATAACAAAGTGTTTCTTCACGCTCTTTTTCCGAGAAATCATGGCTGGCATAACCCCCCTTTGAATTAAAACAAAAATATATCCTCCACTGCCCTTGTGGTCAAACAGTTTTATGGATTCGTATGACATACCAATAACAATTTCTACATGATGCCCATCACAAGCAATTGATGTAATATTTGTCAGTAACATGAGACTGGAAGAAAAAAGTGTGAGATTACCTGGAGCGAAGTGCCTTTTATAATGTCTTCGTAAGCCAAAGTTCGAGTACCGGCGATAATCCTAATTTTCTCCCGTCAATGGTCGCTCGAAAAATATTTTACGCTATTTCAATCGCGTTTAGAACTCACATTAAAGAAAAAAAATAACTGTGGCAGAAAAATATCAAACGTATGAAATCTTGATCATGACATCGCTCGACGCACACTTGTGCAAATTAACTCTCCGCTTACTGATTTCTGAGAACCAAAATATATTCCGTGTTTTCACGTGACGTCATAAGCCTAATTAAAAACACTGTCCGCCATATTGGTGGACAGGAAGCTCCTTTGCATATGCCAAGTTACACACGTGCGTTTGTATTTATTCACAAGTAATGATATGTCAAGCGATTTTAAGAGCGATAGCGACCCTAAAATTGAGAAAAAAAAAACAAATATCTAAAGCAACATCAAAAATAGTCTTATCTGAGTATGCAAAGAGTTTAGGAGATCATATAAAAGCAAGATATTTACAAAAAATCTCGACTGTTGGAGTGACCCGGCGCGTTTACAACGTGAGAGGCTAGACTCACAATGTCTCCCTCCGATCGAAGCTTCCGATCTTGTGTCTTATCTTGTATTGGAGACCAGCTTTTATACATTAAAGTAGTTCAAGGCTTTCAAACGTTTAGAGAACTACAACCAAATGGTTTCAGGATTATTTATTACATGCGTACTGGGAAAAGTTGTCGGCAAGATGTTTGTCGTGAAAGGTGCGACATTCACAACGAATGAATGAGTCGCCTTTTTTGATTTGGATTGTTGCCAACACAGAAGGAACGATTGCTTCAGTTCATTGTTTAGGTTGTAAAGCTGGACTTTCCGAATGTTGTTGGCATGTAGGGAGTACGTGTTTTATTTTATATTGAGGCATGGAATCGCATGTGGCAAGTTGTCGTGCACTCAAGTCAAATGTACTTGGTTGATCCTGAATGATCTAGATGAGGTCACATACGCTGCTATCGAGGACATAAACTTAAAGTCAGCCAGTAAACTAAAACAAAAATTGGATGATAGAATCGATGGTGTTTCTCTGAACAATTTTTCAAGTAAGTCAAAGCATAGTTAGTAGAGGGGACAAAGTCACCATTTACGAACGTTACTCCTACCGAAAGGGAAATTAAAGCATTTTTTCGATGAAATAAATAAGACCGCGAAAAAACCTGTGATACTTTCATTGAAACCCCCATATGCCGATCAATTTATACTGAAAAGTAGAAACATTGCAGCTATAACAGTTTTGCAGCTGATTCAAGGAGCGCTATTTCATGTCGTCTTTTACCTCGCGCCTTAGCTCGTTCGCTTCGTGCTGCTTGCAGTTCGCTCTCTTGTTCGTTTATGG